TCAACTTTTGTTATAAGATATAACATAACTTGGGGCAGTTTACTCATTTTTAAAAATCGCTTCGCAAGTTGAAATGAGCTTCATGATTATAATTTAATTTTAATGTAGACAATGAGACAAATTTTTCCATTTTTTCGTTCGGAAGAAGGCTTCATATAACGCAAAAGCTTAAAAAAGTTAACGTCAAGCTGAGTAAAACGTTTTTGACAAAACTATTATTACTAAAACATCAATTGAGCCCCAGCCTAACACCAGAATCCCTGACCCTGGGGCAATTAAATTCACAGTTTTAGAAGAGGCAGTCTATTTCAACATACTTGTGTATATTGTTAGTTTTATTAATACTTAGGAGCAGAGAAATAAATTTTTACATATGCAAAAGACTTAATGTATTTTCACTATATAATCATTAGAGTCCTACCCTAACACTGGATCCCCCCCATCTAGGGGTCTTGAAATTCACTAGTTTGGAAGAAGCTGCCTTCCTTATTATAACTATGTATGTAGTTCTCTGGCTTATAACAGTTGATAACAAAAAAACCGTGCAACAAATTTATTACATTTTGATCATAAAATTGAACAAACAATGAATAGCAGCAGAGAGTAAATGAAATAATTCATGGAAATATGAGGGATTCAGATGATTGCATGTGTATGAAAAGATGAAGATGTATAATCCCTGCCCCTGTCCCAGACGTGATTCCACCTGAATGCATTTAGTGAAATTATCATATCATCTAGAAATAGGCCCTTTTCTTTTAAATTTTAAATTACTGTTGATATATTGTCAAACATTCATGGAACTCTGTATGCAGGTGATAAAGGTATTTTGCTGCATAAGTAAGGGGAGTTAACGATTGAAAAGTTGACATGAAAGTCATCATGTTTATCATAGAGGAGGGGTAATTTCAATGAGGCGAATGGCATTTCGAAACAAACAGTAATTTTATTTTGGCCTTATACAAACAAAAATTATAAAATTTTAATGTTATCTCCCAAGATTTCAGCGAAGAACCTCAGGATAGATAGTTTATGAAAAAAACCTACATGTTAATTAATTCCTGTCTAAGATTAAATATCCATTCTGTACATCCGTCTTGGAAATCAATATTAATGTGTAACAATAAAGGACCATTGTATATGGCTACACCAGGAGCCGAACCGAAACCCAATTCATGTCCAAGAACGAATTCAATGTCGATATCGACGATATTGACAATATTATGTCGATATCGTATCAATATCGATCGTCATGAGGACTATTAATGTGAAATAATTTGTACAATATATATTAGACTTTGTGCTATATCGGTGTTGGTGATGTCGACAATACGATGACGATATCGTATTGATATCGATCCTATTTGTAGAATTTATTTTCACAGTGAGGTACGAGGGTTGGTCCAAAAGTAATGTCACAACGTCGATAAAATCGCTATCCGTCGACCTAAAACATCAAAATTATAAATGATGAAAGCTACATTCATTTTTAATCAGACCTGAAAATTTCAATTCAACATGATTTATACTTTCCAAAATATCGGATTATAAACAACATGCGATTATGGTAGTCGCCGCAGCTAAATAACGTCATATGAGGGATACGCGCCGTCATACATTTATAAACGCTTCCCTTCGTTTCATTAAAAAAATATTTGAGATTTGATATCCACGAACACGTTCACAAATTTCACTTTCTTACCCTTAGTACCCATCGTACACACATTTCTTTCATAATTAGTTCTGTCAAAATTCATTAAACGGTAGTAAAAGGCCAACCTTAAATTTCAAACATCGCTGTATCCGTCTGTCTTTTTGACAACGTCACACACCATTGAACATTTCTGTTCGCCCCTCCCATCTTTCTTTTTTTTTGTCATCTGCTGAGCATAAAATGACACATCACCCACCGAAAATCGCTGAAACCATTTGAACAAGTCTCTTGTTTACATTCTTTCCTCCGAAAGTCTGGTGAATCAACGTATAAACTGTCTCTACTGGCGATTTCTCCATTTTGAAGCAAAAATGCATTACATTTTGTTTGGGCTTTTTTGTCCATTTTGACATTTCCTTTTTTCAATGCACCGGAATAAATCGACGATGTTTTTCATAAAAAAAAAAATAGCAGTGATGTCATATAATTTTCAATTTAAGACTAGAAAATGATGTTATCTTTTGTCCTTTAAAGTATTTATCGTTTAGTTGCTTTTAAAAGATGCTTTTTAAGTGTTTGTCTTTTTTAATACCAAAAAAGTGCACTTTAATTCGTGACGTTCGGTTTTGACGCGGCGACACCCCCTATCTTATACTGTAAATGTATTATATTTGGCGTGTATGATATTTGGCGGAAATTGAATTTTCCACAAGTTGGCGTAGATTTGATTTAGCGCTTTTTGAATATGTGTTACTTAAACCTTTATACACAACGTATTTAGCGATGTACTTGATTTAGCGAAGGCTACTTTCAGCGAAAGGCGCTAAAAAGAATACACAGCCAAATGTAATACGTTTACAGTATGTTTTAAATATCTATAAATTAAATTCAATTCAACATTATTGAATGAAAATTTAAAGTTTAATTAAATTTATATTTGTGCATCTTTTGGTGTACAGTGGACCCTCATTTATCCGGACGCTTTGGTTCCCAGTAAATTTGTCTGGATATGTGAAGCATCCGGATATCTGAATCACCAGTTAAACAAGACAATATAACATTTAAAAATTTCGTTCTCATGAAAAATGGTCAGGATATTGAAGCATCCGGATATCTGGCGTCCGGATATCTGAGGGTCCACTGTATAATATTTGATAATATGACGCCAGACATAAAAGAAATGGACAGTCTGACATTACTTTTGGATCAACCCTCGTATAAAATACTTTTACAAGGTGACAGGTGATGTCAAATTCATTCATTATGTAAAGGTTATAGGCCAAAAACTGTCCATTCTGTGAGAAGAAAGAACTGTTGGAGGGCCGTTAGGCCCGACAATAGTTCTTTTTTCTCACAGAATGGACAGTTTGAGGCCTATAACCTACTTAAAACATTTACCCCATTGTGTTCATAATGTACTCTCTTAGAACTTTTTCTCATCCATTGTATTAAGTTAGCATTGTCTACTTATTGGACTGTCTCAGGTGAGGGTTTTATGACAGTCAAAAGAAACTTGTATTCATTGTTATTGTTAACTTAGTGGACAGTTACAGGTAAGTTCAATTTTTAAACAATTGACTAAGGAATATTTAATCACAAGGCATGAGATTCTATCACCATTTTGATGTGAGTGTGAATGCTAAAAGCATGTCTTCTTCCAAGGAAGCATATTTTGATGCAAAACAAATTCAGATATGAAGGGCAATGCATAACGGGGTATGTCATTCTTGTGATATTTTGAGCCTAGGATTGTCAAGAAAATGAACTTTGAGCTCAAGGTGGACGTTTTATTTTTTAAATATTTCTGAACATTTGATCAAGGGTTTTCAAGGATGCAGAAAAACAAAGAGAACGCAGCGTAGAAAGTTTTCAGTAATTAGTAAATCAACAATATTCAGATGATTTAGAAGAGAATAATCAGAGCAGAAATGTAAACGAGTACTTATTGTGTTTTTTAACTGACAGGGAGAATATTACAAGGTACCAAACGTTGATGTGCGTTAAAGTGTTTAGTGATAAAGAAATCAACAAAATTATAAGCTTTCTTTTCGCCGAAATCAGAAACAAATCGGGAGATGAGTAGAAAAGGCTATTGACAAAACACCCTTGCATTTATGTAGCAGAAAAAACTATGAATGTGTTTCTGTAGAAAAATGAGAAAAATTATTCAAAGTACAAGTGAGAAATAAGAATTTAAGGAGCGACTGTTTCTTGCCAGGAGAAGTGATATTCCCTCGTGTGTTGTTGGTGCAAACTACATTCTAATAGTACTCAGATCGAGATATTTCCTTCAAATTTAAGTTTTGATGTTCATTGTGAGAGGGAATATACATTTTATCATTTATTGGAATAATTACAAAGTTTCAGTTTTTGTGACTTGGAATGGATTATTTAATTACACTGTGAAACTGTTGGATTCATTGCCTGAAAAATATTTATTTGTGTTTATTTGTGTTGTGTTTTCTTAATCTAGTAAGTTACCTGTAGCCATCCAATAAGTAACTGAAAACTGTCCATTATTTTTAATAATGGACAGATTTTTAAACTTATTGGACAGTTTCAGGTAACTTATTGGACTGTTTTGGGCCATGCAGGAAACAGAAAGCATTAAAAGAACAAAAGATGATGTCATACTAATGTTTTAATAGCATAAATATGAAGTTGAATTATGTTAGGGAAAGGGTAAGTTAGTTAGTGGTCGTTATTGTTTTGGATTAGGTTTAGAGTAAGATGTTGGGTGAGGGTTAACGTTGTTAAATCTGTTTATCAATCATGATTCTATATCGATACGATATCGATAGTACGGTAATTTGTTAAATCAGAAAGTAAATGTGCACTAGCATTGCATGAAGAAACAAAGAACTTATTGTCATTGGATATCTAAAAAATAAAGATTTTGTATAAAGGGTGAAGGATGGCAAATAATTACATGTATACTTTAGAAATCATGATTTGATATCGATACGATATCGTCGATATCTTCGTAAAAGTAAAGTTATTAAACTTAAATACACAATGATAATAATTTGCTGATGTTAAACTATATGGACTTTTTTTCAAAAATGCAAGTGAACTTTTGAATTATTATTAATATTTAAAGATTATTTATATTTTTAATTCTATTTTTAGCTGATATTGAATGAGAGAGGAGGACTTTTACACAAGACAATTTATATTTTTAAAATGATCATGTAAGTATATAATTATATAGCTGTAAAGCAATATTTGGATAGAGAGAGAGAGATAAAGTGGAAGGGGGATTTCATTGCGTGGACAAATGATCATGTAAGTATATAATTATATAGCTGTAAAGCAATCATACAGTTGGATAGGGTAGAGGGGGGCTAATCAGAGAGATAAAGTGGAAGGGGGATTTCATTGCATGGACAAATGATCATGTAAGTATAATTTCATTTATTTAGTTGTAAAGCAGTCATACAGGTGAATGGATATTGGAAGGGGGGGGGGGGGGGCTGATCAGAGAGATAAAGTGAATTTCCATTCTTATAATGAATTAAAATCTTTTGACTTTGGCAGTTTGCTACATGTATAACTGTGTAATAATGTATATTTATGCAGTACAGAAATGAAAGAGACTCGAGTAAATGATTGGGTTTTTATTACTCATTTTTTTTATTGTCAGGGAGTAAAAATTTTTGATATGAGCTCCAGGAACAGAATCACCTTCATCAGTAAAGATCACAGGTGAATGATTATAAATTAAGTGATAACTGTCAGAGTTATAGATATCAAATTCAGTAAAATTAGTAAATAGAGTTCAAATATCAAAATTTTTATTCATAAGCTCCAGATGTGACACAATTCCTTTTCTATTTTTAGCTATCGGCCTGACCAATACAAATGCAATATGTGTTGGAAAGATGGACGCACACTCCTCCTTGCATGGGCAGATAAAGTGAAAGTAGGAAAATATTATGTGTACTAATAAACAGAAAGTAAATTATTATTAGAATTATATCTGTATAATTAGAACTTAATTAAAGATGTAGAAAAATTGTGGCAGCTTTGTCAAAGTAATGGAAACGTACTTTTATTTGATTTGAATACATTCTTCGAGGATGAAAGTTACCTTCTAAATTTTCAAATTCAAAATAAATATGATACCTCATTTTAAAATCATTTTTAATTCCAATGTAATGATGTAATATGTGATGAAAACTAAATTTCAGGTTTGTATTGTAAAAGACAGGGAGGATCGGGATATTAGAGATTTACCACAAAGATATGTAGAAATCAGTAAGTAATAGATATTGTTTTATTAAATTTATATAGCTGGGGATCCAAGATAAATTCGCAACATCTGTGTTCGTACTAAACGAGTTTTGCTGTACGGTATTATTTTATCAAATAAAAGTTGAATGTCACTTGCTTGTAGTATTTCCCCACTCGGAGACAGCTTGGTCATTTTTAGTTCAGTTGCTATGTTTACTTCCTGTGACAGTGGTATTTCTTCACTTGGTGACAGCTATTAAGTCATTTTATCTTTCAGTTGCCATGTTAACCATTTTATAACCCCTTTTGCCTGTGGTATTTTTCCACTGGGTGACCTTTTGGTCATTTTATCTTTCAGTTGCCATGTTTACTATCGACTCGTTTGCCTGTGGTATTTCTCCGCTGGGTGATAGTTTGGTCATTCTGACATTTTATCTTTCAGTTGCCATGTTTACTATCGACTCGTTTGCCTGTGGTATTTCTCCGCTGGGTGACAGTTTGGTCATTCTAACGTTTGAAAAAGAAACCCAGGAAGAGGTAAGCACACTGATTATAAAAATTCTGAAAGAATTCTATGCATTTCTCAACCAAAGTAAATTTACTTGTTAATGTCTTGTTATCTTCAGAAATCAGTAATGAGTAATATTTTGTTTTTTCAGTCTTCATAAAATGCACTTTGTTTGAAAAATACAGTTATGTTAAGAATTAAAGACTCTTGAACTCATATTTATTTTGGTTGCTAGGACAACAGACAGGTTTCCAAGCGACCACACCTGTTAATTGTGGAGCCACACATGGAGTATTTTGAGGAGATTTCTAATGACGCTTTGTCTGTACGGGGATTCCAGGAATACAAGCCTATCGACTATCACCTAGGTAACACCAGATATCAGATATCAGATGAATAATGACTTAAGTAATACAAAAAACTAGATATCAGATATTGACCTGGGTAACACAAAAAATCATGTATCTGATAATAACGGACTGAGGTAACATAAAATATTCACCTAAGTACCATGGAAACCAGATTCAAGATACTGTATATTCACAGGGGCCAGTAACAGGCTAAATTTGAATTTACGTATTGACTATATATATACAACTGTATATATATAGTCAATACAGTATAATTCCTTAACCAAAACTGTGACTGGGTGAATTTAAAATGGGGCAAATTGTTTTCATGTGTGAAAGGTTGAAAAATAAATTGGGGAAAAAATAACCCTGTTTACAGTACTCAAGTAACCAAAACTGTCAGACTGGGTGAATTAACCCAAAACATCTGATATCAGACAATTGATATTATTGTATAGAATATTAACGTTTGTTAATATTTCATCTTCTAATTACAAATTGCTGTTAACATGTGGATGTACAAGTATAATAATAATAAAACTAACAGCTTCAGATATATTTTAAACATCACACGTTTCAGAGATACTAGTATCAGGTTTGTAACCCAACCACTCCACCCTCCCACCACTACCACCACTACCTCAACATTTAACTTCTTACTACTCCCTCATTCACCAAATCCTCAACATTTTGTACAATCAATCAAAGCCACACGCACAGTCAAACAAACAACAAATATTCTACAACAACAACCCCCACCCCCAAATTTATATACAGAGTTGTACTTTCTTTTTGATAAAATCATAAATACTGTAAACCATGTGTTATTGTTGCGCTAGTAATATCTGAAAGTTTCACAACCTTATCACAAATATTTATGACCGGGAACCAATTAATTACTGCTGTATTCATGTAAAGTGCTTCCTCAGTTGTCAAAAATAATAGTTGTGGTTTGATTTTCAAACTGAAAAATCACTTATAAAAGACGTTGCAAATGATAGTTCGTTTACAGTTTTTCCTCCTCCCCTTCCTCATTAATATCCTTTTTACTGTAAACCAACTTTTATTCGCGACGACTTAATTTCACGATTCAACGGGAGTTAACTAGTTAGCGACGATTAATTTTCGTGATCAAGCCTTTTTTTTGAACTGTTTTTAATAGAAAAAGAGACTAAAAGATTAATTTTCGTGATCAAAACCTTGCGAAACTTTCTCGCACACAGTAAAAGTTGGTTTACAGTATACTCCAAAGGAATCAAATGTATGATAACTTGATCTTAACCTTACAGATTTGACATTTACACATGGTAATCAAATGTCTGTTAATTTTAAGGGCAGCTTTTAAAGTACTTAAATGTTATGTTGATTAGAATGACATAAATTTCATATGTTTCATTGTACCAGTCACTTTCAGATCTTTTCAAAAATACCAGGACAAATTTGATTAAAAGGTTCTTAAATGAATTGTTTCATAGCCTGACTATAAATTTCATATCAGTGACCTCATTGAACTTTAAAATTCAAAGGGTTTTTAAAAGGTAAGCATTGAATCATCAGTGACATTGAACTAAAGCTTTCACATACCATGAGCCTATCTTTTGTTCTTCAGTACATTCATTTTGAAGCAGGAACAAAATGTATCTATTAAAATGTGTATATTTTCAGAGACGATTGCGGACGAGAATTTGTTTTACATTGTCAGTCCTAAGGATATCATTGTATCTAAGGAACGGGACATTGACGATCATGTTAGCTGGCTTTTAGACCATGAAGACTTTGAGGTAAAACAATAACAAATGAAAACGTTTAAAAAAATTAATTTTCTTATGCTTGAAATACAAAAATAGTGAACAGTACAATACTTATCTTGCATCTGACCTTAAAAGAAAGCAAAATGAATAAGTGATTCTTCTGAATATTCATTTTAAAATGCAACGATCTGTTAAATCTGATAACTTCAAGAATACAATAAATAATACATATATATGTTAATGTGATTGTGTTTCTCTAGTTAATATCATGCCATCATTACATACATATATGTAAAATCACATATTTTCGATTGTGTTTGAGGAAAATCTCTTGGTTCGTAGTTGATTTCGTGGATCAAGGATTAATGAGTACTTATGTATGGAACATTTTACATTTCGTTGTGGACATGAATTCGTGGGTCTCCTCATACCTCGAAAACAACGAAAAATTAAACCCCCACGAAAATTAGTGATTTCACAGTACACGATATATCTCTCTATTTACAGGAAGCTGTGGATGTCGTAGAGAAAAACGAACATCTCCTTAGAAAGCATTCTTACAAGGTAACTAAAGATAGAATACGTGTGAAAATACTGATCGTATTGAGTATTCATATGGACGACTTTCACATTTACATATTTTCGGGGTATCAGTCTTTTCTCTATAATTACCAACTTTATGGGTCTCTCCCAAAATCTATATGAATATGCTCATTATGTTTTTCATGTTGCCCCATACTCTGGCAATACAGGTACAGATTTTCAAGAATGCACTGTTCTAACTTTAGAAATTCTTATTGTCATGAAATTTTAAGCACTGTTCTCTTGAAAACTTGTCAAATTAATAATTCATTATTCAAACAAAAATCCTGAAATCATTGATTTCTGAGTCATTATTTTCTATTTAACACAAGTAATTTAAAAAAATGTATCAAAATTTTAATTGATTTGTATTTATATCTTTCTTTATTTATTCTATTGTACAGGAAGTAGCCAAGCAGTATCTCCACTTTTTATTGGAGGAGGGTAATTTTGAGGAAGCAGCCAGACAGTGCCCGAGAATTCTGGGTAAAAATAAGGAATTGTGGGAAGAGGAAACTTGGAAGTTCCAGAAATATAAACAGTTAAAAGTAATCAGCATCATATCTATTTTTCTTTGTTTATCCATAATCTATTCTTATAAGGATTTTAATTTTAAGAAGAGGCAGTTTGAATTTGTTAACTTCTATTTAATCTTTGGAGAATGACCACAACTTTCTATCACAGTTCTACCCCCTTACATTTATATACCCCTCAATGAATTAAAACAATAATTTAAAGATTTTGTATACACTCCTCTAGGAATTAAATTTTTTGTTACAGGTTCTAGCCCCTTATTTTACCCCGCAGTGGGCCCCAGCTCTCTCCAGCAATCTATGAACTTGTACTGAATGATTTTCTGTTACAGGTTCTAGCCCCTTATTTACCCCGCAGTGAGCCCCAACTGTCTCCAGCAATCTATGAACTTGTACTGAATGATTTTCTGTTACAGGTTTTAGCCCCTTATTTACCCCGCAGTGAGCCCCAGCTATCTCCAGCAATCTATGAACTTGTACTGAATGATTTTTTGTTACAGGTTCTAGCCCCCTATTTACCCCGCAGTGAGCCTCAGCTGTCTCCAGCAATCTATGAACTTGTACTGAATGATTTTTTGAACACAGACAGTGAGGTTAGAATTAATTCGTAACAGCATATTATTATATACATGTAGCATAGATAGCATAAAGTGTCATTATATCTCTTAACAGCAATCTATGAACTTGTACTGAATGATTTTCTGTTACAGGTTTTAGCTCCTTATTTACCCCGCAGTGAGCCTCAACTGTCCCCAGCAATCTATGACCTTGTACTGAATGATTTTTTGAACACAGACAGTGAGGTTAAATCTATGACCTTGTACTGAATGATTTTCTGTTACAGGTCCCCTTACAGGTTTTAGCTCCCTATTTACCCCGCCGTGTGCACGTTGTCATAATCAGGAAATAACGGAAAAATCCGTGGTCAATTCATTATATACATGGACTAACAATTGATAGCATAAAGTTATCATTATATAAATTGTATAATTAACACATTCTTAAATATTTACATTTGCAAATGTTTTCCCTTTATAAGTGTTCTAAAATGTGATTTCATAGTGACATCATATACTTGATCAAAATTTTCAATTTATGCCTTTGAAGATTGACAAAATTATTTGATGGTTTTGAAAGTATTATTATAGTACCCAACTATCTGCGATAAATTGGTCACAAAGTAAGTATAAGAAATAAAGTATCATTTAAAAACTTTATCGGGATGTAAAATACAGGTTGGTTTTACTTTAAGACATTCCTAAGCATAGTGAAGGAGTGGCCGTCTAACCTGTATAATGTACAGACCATAATCACCGCCACGCTGGATCGCCTGGACCGTGAACGGAACAACACGGTCTTACTGAGAGCCCTCGGAGAGCTGTGAGTTATTTTTAGCAACAGCAATGTCGAACTTGGTATTGAGATTTTTAGCATACAATGTTTTTGAGATCTGATATAGTTATTTCCATTTTAAGTTAGGTTCCTTATTCTTCTTTGGTTTATGCCATCAATAAATGTGTGAATAAGAAGTATGATAAATAAAGTAAAATGCAGAGGTAAATCATATTTTATGTAGTACTACATACATATAAGAAAGTAATATAAACTTTATTATAATCCTCCACAGGTACACATTGGAGAGACAGTATGAGAAGAGTCTGGCCATTTACTTAAAGTAAGTAAAAAATTTACAGGGCTGAGTGGTTGGGGCCATTTTTAGACCACATTGATCTTAAGAAGAAGCTAGAGCCCCAAATAAAGATGTAAAAAAAAATTAAAACTATGGAGTAAGAAATTTTTCTTTGCCAAAGGATAGTTGATAGATTAAGATATATCTAAAAAATTAAGCGATATATTATGGTTAATTTGTTGAACAGTAAATCATATTTTAATGTACATAGCAGCCTTAAAACACATATCTCAAATGCTGTTTTAAAAACATTGAAATTAACATATGGAAGTATTAATGACAACTTTTGTCTAATTTTGAATTGAATACCAATCAAAAAGTACCAGTATACATGATTTTTGGTATTTAAAATCAGTGGAAGTCTTATGTAGCCTTATTCTTAAGAGAGACACAGGGACCACAACACTCACCTTAATCATAGAATCTCTTTGACAGTAATTAAGGGTTATAAAACAAAAAAAGATGTAGACAATGTTTACCATCATATTATTATTGCAAGATTTAAGATCTACACGAGCTCAAAATTATGTAAAATATTTATTTTGTTGATGTGTAAAGTTTCATTCCACTTGATTAAATGGAACTATGCATGGAAGCCAATTTGAAAAAAAGGAAATGAACAGCTCACCAATAGACAAAGGCCTGTTCTCGTTTTTTTAACTTTAGTCAATAAAGGCATTTTAATAGTTGGAGAAGTGAAAAAGACCCATATTTCTTTTTTAGGTTATTGACTTTTTAAAACTGTATGATCTGCAAGTTTTAACTATTTTGACAGTTGGATATTATTATGTTAATTTAAAATATCATGTTCAAATGGCAAAAAAAAAAATTTTTGCCTAAATTCCAATTATTATAAAAAGAAATAATTTTTTATTTTTTAAACATTCACTTTATTAATAAAATATTTATGTGTAATTTAATTGTTATGCATAAAATATTGTAGTCCAGATTAAAACTAGTTTAAAACATTACCACCTGATTTAACCAACTTTGAGTTCTGTTCTATAGATGTTTCAATTTATGCATGAAATAGGAATAAATATTCCTTACCATATAGTTATTTGAAAAGATTCCATTTTCACAGAAATTTTAATTAAAATACACTATTTTAGTGTTTTATATCATTTCCTTGTATTCAAATTAAAAGCTGAATGAGATGATATTATTTAATCAAATATAAAACCATTTATACACTGTGACAGTAAAACTTGCTAGATGGGGGAAATTTGTGAATTTCTGTTTTTCCTCTTTACATGAACAACAGAATTTCCAAAGGTCAGTTTCAAAAGTGTACTTAAACAATATCTCAGGTCAATGAAATTTTAGCTTGTTTTTTTGTTTTAAATATGATCAAGGTTTTGTCTTAACAGAAATCAGTTAACAAAAACAAGTTTTACTGTACATGTTATTTATACCTGAATGTGAATATATTTAGTGTATGAATTATAATAAAAAGTACCTTAAAATTCTCTATATATACCAGATACTGTTCAATCGCTAAATCCAAAGAAAGGTAAACATTGCATGATGGGTAATGCTATAGATCTATATATTTCAGAAATTCACCTGTACTCTTCATTTCCTCAGAATACATGTCTTTATTTGAGATACTTGTTTGAATGGGAAATCTCTAACCTCTAGAATATTGTATGTAAAAATTGACTCAGCTTTTTATTCGCATGGATGTACCTGTTTATTTTTTAACTTCATAAGCAAGGTCAACACAAGAAAAGTTTAAACATATTGGATTTTCACATTTTTGATTTTTCTGGAGAACCAATGGGATTTTTTTAGTACAAAGCATCCTGTGTGGGGAGTAGAAATGTATAAAAATTTTACAAGGGGAGATAATCAAGAAAAGACAAAAATTGGGGGGGAGTCTTCTTCTCAAGAACACTGGGCCAGGAAAGCTGAAACTTATGTGGAAGCATCCTTGGGTAGTGTAGATATAATTGTTAAAATCATGACCCCCGGGGGTAGGGCGGGGCCACAATGGGGAATCCAAGTTTAAATAGAAATATATCAAATCTTTAAAAATAAGAACCACTGCAGGAAAGCTGAAACTTATGAATTGGGTAGTGTAAATTAAATTGTAAAATCATGACCCACTGGGGGTAAAATTATTGGGCGGGGCCACAATTCTGCAGTTTACATAGAAATATATAGAACAAATCTTTTTAGTTCTCAATAACTTAAAAGTTTTTAAATGGACATTTTTTACTGTAATGATATTAAAAAAGTTATATAAGCATGACCCCCGGGGTAGGGGGGGCCACAATGATGCATTTTACATAGAAATATATAGAACAAATCTTTAAAAATCTTTTGAAAATGTGGGCCAAAATGAATTATGTGGAATGCATTTATTTGGTAGATGTAATAAAATTAAATATAATGGGAAACCCACAAATAGGGAATACACAGTTTATAAAAAGAAATATATAGAACAAATCTTTAAAAAATCTTCTTCTCAAGAAATCTGTTTACTGGGCCAGGAAAGTAAACTTTTCAAGTTAAATGATGGGTAAAAAATATTAAATTGTTAAATCATGACCCCAGGGAGTAAACTGTCCACAGTTTTAGTCCTTACAATTTTTACACTTTATTGAACAAATCTTTAAAAAGGCTGTTCTTGCTCAAAAACACTGTCTCTGAAAGCTAACTTAAAATTTGGAAGTGTAGATATTAAATTGTTACAAATTTCATCTTTGGAGGGGCAGACAATTCCAAGTTTTACATAGAAATATATAGAACAAATCTTTAAAAAGTCTTCTTGAATTTTAGGAAAGCTGAAACTTATGTGGAAGCATCCTTGTGTAGATATTAAATTGTTAAAATGAAAAAGACTAGGAAAATATTTAGTAATATTTCAATAAAATTATAAAAATTAATAAATCACACTCAGTAAAGGTTTACAGATGAAAATCCTTGTTGTAAGAATATTTATTTGTTAAAAGCATACCCCCGTATAAAGTTTAGACAATAAATCCAAGTTTGACAAGCCATATGAATTTTATGAAGAAAAGCAAAATGGTAAAAATCAGCCCATATGATATAGGGTAATTTATACATAGAAATATAAAGAACAAATCTTTAAAAATCTTCTAAGATTTTTCTGTTTATATTACATTTTTAGCACCATAACATATTCTGAAGTTTTAAAATAAAAGAGGCCCTTACCTGAGCACTAAGGGTGGATTTGTCAAAATTTGTTTTTTATTGAAATATTAATAAATTTTAAAGTACATGTATATTTGGATTTTATTTTTTAGAAAATGATTTTTAAGACTTTTCCTTTATTTCTATTTAAAACTTTGTGACATGATTTTGGCCTTACCCTCCTCCAAAGAAAAAACAAACTTGAATCTACACTACCTGAACATGCTTCCATATATATATGAATAATTAAGTGGCTTTGTCATATCAAAAAAATTAAATCTTTTTTTAAGAATTTTCTTATATATTTGAACATGTATATAAATAATGCTTCTATTTTTAGCAACATTTTCCAAATTACTAACTGTTGAGTGATTTTTTGCTTCCATATAAATATTCTAATTATGGTGTGTTATGTTCTCAAATTAACATTTTAAAGGGTTATTATATATTTCTCCATGTAAAACTTCCTTTACAGCAAGCAAAGACTATAAAAATCAGAGCTTTGTGGGCTTTTGATATCTTGTCATGATTTCTGTGGCTGATAAATCATGACCTCATACTTTTTTTCATACTTTCAAAAAATTACATTGAAGTTGCAGGTGGTGTTTGAGTTACTGTATGTTTTATATTTTCTATTTAACAAACTTGAATAGTACACTATTGAGCTTGCTTAATATAAATTGATTGAATGAAGGCTTTGTATTACTTGAATAAGAAATTTTTTGGAATTTTCCTATATATTTCTATTTTCAACTTTGATGGCCATTTTGCCACCCCCGGGGGTTGATTTCATAAAACTTGTTTCTACACTATTTTCTTTCCATATAAATTTGAAGTTATGGCTTTGTCATTCTTTATTTTTTTTAAAAATTTTCATATATTTCTATGTAACTTGGTGTATGCCATAATTTGAACTTCATTTTATATCTACATATACTGCGCATGCGCTTAAATACAAACAAAAGCTGTTTTAATGACATTGACCTAATCAAAATATAATCTACATAAAGCTACCTAAACATGCCTCCATATAAATATGATGAATTATATTTTTCATTTTAGAAGAATTTTGAATTTTCCATATATTTCTATGTAAAACTTTGTCAGCCATTGTGGCCCCGCCATAGCCCATTTTTATTTTGAACAAACTTGAAAGTACACTACCTGAGCATGCTTCCATATAAATATGATGAATTGTGGCTTTGTCATTCTTGAATGAAGATTTTTAATTCAGAATTTTCCAATATATTTCTATGTAAAACTTTGAGCAGCTCTTTTGGCCCCGCCCTACCCCCGGGGGTCATTTATATTGCCATTGAATCTGACACTACATGAGCATGCTTCCATATAAATTTGATTTTAGGCTTTTTCAAATTGTCAAGAAGATTTTTAAAGAATTTTCCTATATATTTCTTGTAAAACTTTCATGGCCTGTCATGGCTGTCTTTTTACCTTTCCAAAAAATGATTTGAACAAACTTGAATCTACACTACCTGAGGATGTTTCCCCAAAGTTTGCCTTTCCTGGTTCACAGTGGTTCTTGAAAGAAGATTTTTAAAACATACCACAATTTTCAAAATTCTCCATTATCTCCCCATTTAATTCATCTTGAGTTACATTTCTAACAAAAAATCCCCTTCACCCAAGGATGCTTTGTGGCAAGTTTAGTTTTGTTTTCGTCAGAAGAAGTCAAAATGTGAAAAGTTTCCATGACTTTGGTGACAGACTATGTTTCCAGACTTTTCGGACAGACAATGTGACACTAGCTTCTTTTCGGCTCAGGTGAGCTAAAAACTAAGGGGGTTATTGGGCATGATAGGTATAGCAAGATAGTGTATCTGGTAAAATCTACCTCACAAAGAATTAATGTGCAAAAGGATGTGGCCCATGGGCCTCTTGTTTGCATGGATGTACCTGTTTATTTTTTAACTTCATAAGCAGGGTCAACACAAGAAAAGCTTTAACATATGGGATGTGGAATCAACAGTGATTGTTTATGGAGGGGCGGGGGATTTGTTTGTGGGGGATCAATGTGTGGGGGTATAAATGTCTTTTTTGGAGAGGGGCAATATTTATGGGAGGACCAAAGTTGTGGGGGACCAGTGTTTCTGGGGGACATGGTTCATCCTTGTACATAATTTACGAAACAACAAAAATATATCAATATAGCACTTCAATGTTCTGAATATTAAAGTAACCCACAAACCAGTAAAATTATTGAAGGATTCTGCAGTGTTAGATATACTTGTTCATTTTTAGTGATAACTTAAAGGTTTTGTTTTTAAATACGTTTTTTACTGATGTTAATGAATTGTTGAAAAGTCTATATAAGCTGTTGAAAAGGGGAGGGGGTGATGCATTGGTTATGGTGTTGCATTCCTTTACATGTAAAAACATTTTGAAATGTGATGTTTGGAACAAAATGAATTGATTGAAAAAATGCTGCTTTATTTGGTATTTGATACCTGAAAAAATTAAATAAATAATGCACGAGAAACCACTAAATTAATACACATTCATATAAAAAGAAATCTGGCTCCTCAAAGAGATTACCCCTGTGACCCCTTATCAGAAATCTGATTACTGGTCGGAAAGTATCATTTTCAGTGTTAAATGATGGGAAAAAATCTTTAAATTTCCTCCAGGGAGTAAACTGTCTACAGTTTTAGTCCTTACAATTTTTACACTTTTAATTAGAAACTTGAGGCTGTGACATGTGCTCATAAAAACACTGTCTCTGAAATAACTTCAAAATTAAGAATAGATGATACAAACAAATTTCATCTTTGGAGGAGACTTAATATCAAGTCACAAGTTTAGAAAAGTGGATGAATCTTAGAATTTTTCTCCATAGAATTGGAAAATGAAATAGATTAGGAAAATATTAAGTAATATTTCAAAATTGATAAATCACTCTCAGTAAAGGTTAACAGATGAAAATAAAAATCAGAATAGTTTATTGCAGTGCTAAAGGTGAAATATAACTTTAGAAAAAAAATCCCAAGCCAGGTAAATTTTATGAGGAAAAGCAAAATCATGGTAAAAATCAGCCCATATGACTAATAACCCTAACCCTAAGGGTAAATTATATGTACTATTTTTGCTTTTCCTTATAAAATTCACCTGGCTTGGTATATTTTTCTAATGTTTATATTACATTTTTAGCATCAAGCTAACATATTCTGAATTTTTTTTACCTGTAAACCTTTACTGAGTGTGATTTGTCAAAATTTGTTTTTTTATTGAAATATTAATAATATTTATCAAGTATATTTCATTTTCCAGGTGTTAGGAGAAAATGCTTTAAGACTTATCCACTTTTTCTAAACTTGTGACATGATACTTAGTCTCCTCCAAAGAAAAGACTTGTTTGTATAATCTGTCCTTAAGTCAGTCAGAATAATGAAATTCTTCCATAACAAAAAAAATTAAAGCTTTCCTCAAAAGGGGATTTTTTTTTCAAATGAACATGTATATAAATAATGCTCCTATTTTTAGCAATATTTTCCAAATTACTAACTGTTGAGTAATTTTTTGGTTAGTTCTACCTTTCATGGTGTTTTATGTTCTCAAATTAACATTTTACTGGGGTTATCATCATCTGTTCCATCCATTTAGTCTCTTTTACAGCAAACAAAGACTATAAAAATCAGAGCTTTGTGGGATTTTAATATCTTTCAGAATTTCTGTGCCCTATAAATCGTGACCTCATATATTATTCATACTTTTTTCATACTTTACATTGAAGTTACAGCTAGTATTTGAGTTACTTTATGTTTTTTGCTTTATATTGTCTATTACATTTCTTAGTAATTTTTTGAACTAAAAAAATTTGAGTCTAAGATTAACTGTAATGTTTCATGTAATATATATTATAAATCTTATTTTTTAAAGTTTTAATTCTTCCTCTCAAATAATCATACTGAATTTTGCTTTTAAAGGTACTTGGACACAAATTTGAAGTCAATATTTTTCAATAATTTTTTAAAATATTACAACTTATATATTTTAACAGCATATCTCATTAAAATTAATAAAAAACCTTATTGTATATAAAAGATTTTAACATTTCAAATTCTTTGGCGAGTTTGATTGACACACCATTGCACTTTCACAAATTTTAACCCTATTCTTTTTCTTTTTAGGAAAAGTGGCAATTATATTGTGTATTAATGGAATTATTAAAACTTTTATCCAGAAAAATAGTTTTATTCCGAGTACAAATGCTAGAAAGCAAAATGTTCGTCATTTTGTTGAACTACTGGTTGCGTACAGAGTTTGGCAAATGGCGGACCCGTGTTATGGCCTACACAGTTTTTGTAAACAAGGATCGAGTTCTGTTTTTTTATATTAGAATTCACAAACCGTTTAATATCGTCACAGTATGTTTATCCACAATTGCACGGACTGACAATATATTGTGTGTTTGTTTTACTTTTGAACATGCCTACTCTGAGTTTTCTCGATTTTAGTATTAATATTTTTCATTTATACACAACTAGATTGACACTTTTCTTATGGATAAAGAATAAAATTAATTTTGCGAATGTGCAGGAATGTGTCAATTGAACTCGCCAAAGAATTTGAAATGTTAATATCTTTTATATACAATACGGTTTTTATTAATTTTTATGAGATATGGTGTTAAAATATATAAGATGTAATATTTTAGAAAATTATTGAAAAATATTGACTTCAAATCTGTGTCCAAGTACCTTTAAGATAATGATATTTCAAAAGAAAAATCTGACATAAAACTGAAATGCAAACAATTTAGGCTGTACCTTGTGATGAATAATTTTACAGAAATAACCTTTAGTCTTAACTGATCATTTTAAAGGAATAAAAGTCATAAATCCACTAAGAATTATCTCTCTTTAAAATCATAATCTAGTTAGAGTTATCTCTCTTTGAAGTCATTAATTCAATTAGAGATATCTCTCATAAATTATCAGAGAATCAATTACATATTTTGATGAGAATTATTTTAAACTATCTAGAAATGTAAAGAAATTGCTTGAGTTCACAGATACTCTGGAAAGATATCTAGGATAAATGAGCAACAAAGTTGTCAAGTTAAAAAGGTTCTTTCTTCAAATATTGCTAGGTTATTGGAAACCATTAGCATTAAAGCAAATTTTATTTAGGTGACAGACGATTGGTGTACATGTACCATAGTAATAAGAGGCTTCTATTTATAGATTAGGGAACACAGACGTTTTTCAGCTGATCCACAAATACAACCTCTTCTCTTCCATCAGCGATAAAATCGTCCAGTTAATGGAGTTTGATGAAGATCAGGCTGCTAAACTTCTGATTGACAATATGGATAAGCTCCCTGTAAGTTGATAAAGCTGATAAATAGATATGACTAACAGTGGGAGTGACCCGTCAACAGCTGGGGATGCTTGCTCCTCCAAGGCACCTGATCCCACCTCTGGAATTCAATGACATTATTTTCACCTTTTTCAATGTTTTACAATATTTTTTAATTTCAATCTACTATACACAGGGTTATTTTTGTCCCGTGTTATTTTTCGCCCATTTGCACATGCAAACAATTTTGCCCTATTTTAAATTCGCCCAGTCATAGTTTTGTTTAAGAAATTATGCTGTGTAATTTGAATTCGCACCGTTTTAAATTCGCCCAATCAGGAAGAGGGCGAAATGGGCAAAAATTTCCCTGTATACAGTAGCTATTTGTATTCCACCTAGTACGAATCTAACCTTTTCTTAAAGTGATGTCATTCAAGTGCCATTTATTACAAAGCTGACATCTTGAAACTTTAAAAATTTAAGGTTCCTTGAATTAATATTTTATACATTTCTGCCATTGGTTAACAGCTGATGAAATGAGTCTGACAATACAATAAGAAAAATATGACCAAATTGAAAAGTATTTTTAGTTTGATGAAAATAAAACAAACAAATATTTATTTATCTGACATAGGAATCTTGATAATGAGGGATTCAGATATCAAGATAAAATCACAAATGTAAGAGAGGTGGGCCTGTTGACTCACCTTGGCATATCCCTTGTCATGTCACAATCCTTTATTATTATATAAAAAAAATATACAACATAAACCTTTTATTTTATATTAATTCACAAACCAATTCTGAGAGCAAATATAAACAATTCCAGAGTTTTGCAACGAATGGTTGTTTAAAGCTATATATTCTGAATTGAAAAGTGGTTGTTAAAAGCTAAACTGTAAAAGCACATTAATTATTTTAATGAGGTAAAATTTTCGAGGTTTGTGGAAAAATTATTGATTAATGGGAATTCTATTTTATAGTTGGAAAATGTTTAGCAGTCATGCATATGGAAAGAACAAGGTTCACTTTCGCCTTATTTGGCCCTGTGAATTTCTGAAAAACTAAAAGTGCATAGTTTAAGTTAACAATGCATTAAACTATCACTTAGATCTTGGTGACTGCGATCCTATAAAAATGACGTCATTTTCTGGCTAGTCAATGCATTATGACTTCACGAAATGCGTCAATTTCCTCATATTCCGAAAAAGTCTACAAAAACGGCCAATTTTTAAAGTTATTTTTTGATATTTGAAATAGAGCGCAACCTCTGATCTAAAATATGCAACTAGTAAATGATAGAACTGTTTCTGAGGATTCATGGACATGTTTTATTTTTTAGATCAGAGGGTGCGCTCATATTATTTTTCGTCATTGAATGTACTCAATTATACCTGTTTACATAAAAATTCAGGAACATTGCAATTTCATGAAGCCATTTCTCCAAGACCTGGACTTTCAGGAGAATTTTTTTAATACGATATGAAAGCACCAAGTCTCTATTTTATTTTAATGCTTCAAACAGAAAATCAAGTGTTGATCAATTAATTGGTATATCTACAGGGCCATTTTATGCATAAAGTGAACCGACTTCTTTGCATTTCGTAGTGGCCATAAATATATGCATCTCCCAACCTCAAAACAACGAAAATTAACCCCCCCACGCTATCATAAGTGATTTTACAGTAAATTCTAAATTGAATTCCTCTTAATTAAATAAATTCTATAAATTCTGTATTGAAGATTGAACAAGTTGTCAAGCAGCTCGAACACCATGAGAAGTTCTTGTTTGCTGTAAGTATAGATTCTGACAATATTTCTCTGTCATATTTCATAAGTTTTGACTATTTATAATTTTCTTCAATTAATTTCATCATTTTCAAACTATATAGATCTTTTTTTCAGCATAAAAAAGAAATGTAGATGTAAAGTTTTAACTCTTGGTTCATTTTTCTCAGAATTATAAGAGAGGATGGTGTTTTGAATTTTAATAATGATGTCTGTTGTAGTCAAGATTTTTTAATGTGAACTTTAACCTTTGACCTCAGTATTTGGATCGAGTATGTCAGAAAGACCAACAGCTTTGTCAAGCCTACCATGGACAGCTTGTCAAGCTGTATGCAGAATTCGCTCCAAGGAAGTTACTTCCATTCCTGAAGAGCAGCATCCACTACCCACTGCAGAGAGCCATGGACGAGTGCCAAGTTCGAGGGCTCATTCCTGAACAGGTCTATTTACTGGGTAAGTCTTATGATACTTCACTGCAGAGAGCCATGGATGAGTGCCAAGTCCAAGGGCTCATTCCTGAACAGGTTTATTTACTGGGTAAGTCTTATGATAATTCACTACAGAGAGCCATGGACAAGTGCCAAGTCAGAGGGCTAATTCCTGAACAGGTCTATTTACTGGGTAAGTTTTTTTCAAATTCCTACTCAGTCAATGTTTTTTTGGGGGGGTGAGGTGAATGGGGGTGTTAAATCACCATGTTTCTCTCTCTCTCTAGCCCTCCATTAATTCTACTTTTTGGTCTGGATATGATTTCTGAACTTACTTGTTTTGCTCATTATGTATATGGCAGTAGCTTGTAGTTAGTTTTTGTGATGTCCATTTTTGTGTCTTGCCTTCTCTGTGTCTTTCCAATCTTCTACCTGTTTGTTCATCATACTTCGTGTCCTGCATTTATTTTAATGTTATCACAACTAGTTTTTTTTTCTTTAATTAGGTCGTATGGGAGATCTGAAGAAGGCCTTGACCTTGATTACAACAAAGTTGAAGGACGTTACCCAGGCTATTGAGTTCTGTAAGGATAAGAATGACGAGGAACTGTGGGCGGATCTTATTAAATTCAGCATTGATAAACCATGTAAGAGCACGTCCCTTATTATAGCCATAGCTTTAATCCCAACTTCAAGAACTTGTAGTCATTTTCAGCAACTGCATGCTATTCAAGACCTAATTGTATATCATTTACATTTAATTACCCGCAAAGAGTTAAAGAAAATGTCTGCATCCCATAATCTGAACTTTGGATAGACTTCATCAAATAAAGATGCCACTGTAATTAATCCAACCCAAAATATTAAGATTTCTCTGTTGCCTATACATTTACTAAAGATGTAAAAGGACTCGAAACAATCAATCTCTTAAATACTTTTATTGATAGCTTTTATCAAAGGATTACTTCACAACATTGGAACTCATGTGGATCCCATCAGACTGATCCCTCAAATCCAGAATGGAATGGAAATCCCAGGATTACGGGACTCATTGGTTAAGATTCTCCAGGACTATAATCTTCAGGTAGGAAGATGCTGGAAGGGGTCAGAAACAATCTGGTGTGATTTACAATGATTGGAGGGAACATATTGTCTAATATTTACATTCGCTGTGTTTTTCTACTAAGCCAACAGTGAAATTGATTTGAAAGTCATTTTTGTGTATACTCACGCGTAGAAATATACACGGAGAAACGTGCGTTAACGTGACGTCACAATGACGCTGCAGCGACGTTAGTAAAAATGTAACGATATAGGGCACCGAGAAATTCAAACATTGAGTATAGTTTTGTTGCTTCCGAACATGTAAAATGTAAATATAAGGAATGTTTTTCAGTTTAGTGTGAATTATTGGTGTGTGAATCACACAGACTTGCACGTAGGCATATTTTTCATGAAGCGCTAGCGAAACTTAAAAAAAATTCCTTAATTAGAGCATACATGTATTCTAAACACGACTTTGATAACATGATTTTTTAAAAATGATATATATTTATTATGCATTCTTATCTTCACATATTCTATTTCACTTTTTTTTGCATTCACTTGATCTATTACTGTAGCTTTGTCATTGTAAAGAGAGCTAGGTGAAGTCCTTTAATTTTACGTATTCCTTTTTGGTTGTGTCATTTTTAATGTCTTTGAGCCTAAGGTATATGCATTCACTTGTTATGCATACCTTTCTTTGATGGATATTTTCAACTTATTATTCTTTCAATTTAAAAGTAACACTTTAAGAACATAAAATCTTTTTCTTACACCTGTGGTGACTGTTAATCTCTTTTACAAAGTGGTAAATCGGAGCTTTTGAATCCTCTATTTGGAGTTTTGAAATGCAGTTGGTGTCCACTTGTCTTGTTTTTTTAGTCTGTCTCTTCTTCTTGTTTGTAGACGTACTTCCACCCATTCACATATATTGGATGATATATCTTTTTCTTTTAGTCATTTTTCGTGACCCTTTAAAAATAGTATTGAGTTCTTGAATACAAATTTCAGCAAGTTCTTGCTACATAACAAAGACATAATATTTCATCCTAAACAACTAGATTCAAAATCTAATACCACCGGTGCTAAAAGTGTAAAAATGTTAAACAGGAAGGTTTAAACAGTATTAGAAATTATTATTTTAATTACCGTGTTTTCCTGTTGACAGATATCATTAAGAGAGGGCTGTAGAAGAATTCTTGTAGCAGACAGCTTTAACTTACTAGACAGACTGGTCAAAACACAGAGAAGAGGGGTAGCTGTTGACAGTATGTATGACATTATGATGGGGGCGGGGTTAATGAGTGACTGACATCTTTAACTTCCAAGACAATAAACAGTTGTGGGGTTAATGAGTGATTGACAGCTTTAACTTACTAGACAGACTGGTCAAAACACAAAGAAGAGGGGTGGCTGTGGACAGTATGTATGAAAATATTATGGGGGCGGGGTTAATAAGTGACTGACAGCTTTAACTTCCTAGACAATAAACAGTGGTGGGGTTAATGATTGACTGACAGCTTTAACTTACTGAACAGCCAGGTTAAACACACAGAAGAGTGATAGCTGACGACATTATTATACCCCCCGCAAACGAAGTTTGGTATATTGGAATCGCCATGTCCGTCTGTCTGTCTGTCTGTCTGTAGACGAGATTTTGTCCGAACCATTACTCAGAAACTATTAGAAGGATTTGCCTGAAAATTTGTACACATATTATTCACCATATGAAGTTGTGCACCTGATATGTTCATCTTGATTGGATTATTATTTTGAATTTTACAGGTGTTTTTTCATTTTTATTTTGTGGTTTTGTTCGGACCGTTTCTCAGAAACTATTGCAAGGAATAATCTGAAAATTTGTACACTTATTATTCACCATATGAAGGTGTGCACCTGGAATTTTCAACTCTTTTTGTTAATTTTTTTGCATTTTACAGGTTTTATTTTTTATTTTAATTGACTTGTTCATTTTGGGCCCATGTATAAGGTTTGAGATATAGATTCTAGAATATCTGTTCAAAAATACTACAGCTTAAAACTACTCATAAAAACTTAAAAAAAGAAACATCTTCAAGTGTTAAAAACAGTTTTTACATTGCACATAAGATAATGTCCCAAACGGAAAAGATTTTTAACAAACTACTATCAAACCATCAAAAAACTACCAACAAACTATACTTTTATGGTTTGTTAAAGTAGTTTGATAGTATAGCATTTAATGAACCACTAACAAACCACTTTTTCTAAAAATAGCTGCAGTGGTTTGTTAGTCTTTCATTTCTGGTGATTGTGATTTCTTTATCGTTTGTTAGACTTGGTTTCTTGCATCAGTGTTTTATTAGTATAGCATTTGCATCCAACCACATGGGAAATGACTTTACAGATGTGTTTAGGGTTGAATTATCTAGTCTGAATTGTTGAAGTTTCCAAGAACAGCTAGCTTATCTCTTTACATCCGGTGTTATAGCTATTTGCGCCAATTTTCAAACCACCAAGCAGGTCAGAAACAAAGGAATAGGTGAAGGGACATTCAAGTTGTTAAAGTATCATTCTATATGATCCCTGACTGGAAAAAACAGCAATTACCATTATCAAAAGATGGATCTGGATACAGAAGAGGTATTTAATGCATGTCATGAAGTAATTAACCTTCTGTGAATGTGGATGCATATGCTTTTTACTAGCTTTGGATTTTTATTCATTTACAGATTGACCTATAAATCCTATCCTAGTTTAGATCAGTTATGCATTATTAAATTGGATTATGGGAAGTATACTTAAAAAAAAAGACAATAAAGATATCTTTCAAAGTTGCAATGAGGTCATAAACAAGGAAAAATTACAGCTTTTTCCATGCCAGAGGAAGCAGGGAAATATTTAAATGTCGATCATCAGCTTGAAGAACATTTTTTGGTGAAATACTATGAAAATGTACACAACATGAAGGAGAATATGTCATAATTACATGGACATTGACTTGGAATTGCATCTCCTAAACAAAAGGAAACATGTTGGATGTTGCACTTGCATTGGCTAAACTTGTGAATCCTGGAATTTAAATACCCTGAAACAAGACTTGTTGAATATTTCAAAATGTGATTGTTTTAGGTGTTTTCTATTAAGACTTGTGGATTTGTAAAGGAAAATTCAAATCTACAGTGTTTTGGTGATGAAATTGTTCCCAGTGATTTGTTAGTAGTTTGTTAGAGTGGTTTGATAGTAGTTTGTTAGAGTGGTTTGATAGTAGTTTGTTAGAATGGTTTGATAGTAGTTTGTTTGAATGGTTTGGTAGTAGTTTGTTAGAGTGGTTTGATAGTAGTTTGTTAGAGTGGTTTGATAGTAGTTTGTTAGAGTGGTTTGATAGTAGTTTGTTAGAATGGTTGGATAGTAGTTTGTTTGAATGGTTTGATAGTAGTTTGTTAGAGTGGTTTGATAGTAGTTTGTTAAGTGTGGTTTGATAGTAGTTTGTTAGAGTATAGTTTGTTAGCTCATTTGCATGTGATTTGCTATACTATTAAACTACTTTCAAACCATAGTGGTTTGTTAGTAATTTGTTATAGTAGTTTGTTTGCCCTTTTTTCCGTATGGGGTAATTTCATTTGTCTCTTGGGAATAATAACTGGACATGCATCCAGTTAAAAATGAATTAACGAGTTTGGTGTTGGAAGTTGTAAAGGCATATCTCTTATCAAGTGTGTGTGTTATCTATCTCCAGGGAATAAGGCACAAGAATTAAAGATCTCTCTTCTCTTATTCTCTCAATTGTAATTTATTGTCTGTCAAAGCACTTCATTACTGGATGACCAGCTCTTTATTTTTTCAAAATGCATTTCAAATTGATATATCAAGATTAATTTGATGTTGTATAATGGTTTTTTTTTCAACAATCAGTTTGCAGAGTGACATAACACATAATTGCAATATATTTTTTAATGCAGTAATAAAAAAAATAAAATGAAAAAATAAAAAAAAATGTTACTTAAACAATGGAATTACAATATATTCATATTGATGTTTCATTTGGTTGCACATTTGTTTCATTCATTAAGAAACATGATGAGCAATTATATTTCACTGCAAATTTTTGTAAGTAAATTGTGAACACCTCTAGATCCATAAAGTATTTTTGAACTGGCACCTTCTCTGAAAAACCCAGCGGGGGGTATTTGTCCCTATTGGACAGTTCTAGTTATGTATGACAGTATAGGATCGGGTTAATGAGTGGCTTTGGTTCTTTGGAGGGGTTAATATTTGGATTTTAAAGTACATGTATTGTATTGGAAATAAAGAACATGCAATGGCCAGAAAGTGATTAAAATGCAAGGGATGATATAAAGGGAGTTCTTATTTTGTTGTAGGCATGAAAATTTTACTATTTCAAGTATGTTTACAAATGATATTTGTTTTTACCAGGTAGTCAGTCTTGTCCTATTTGTCAACAGCGAATCATAGTAACAGGTGGGTTATAATTTTTGGCTAATCTTTAGAATCATGTTAAGTTTAAGTTATGGAATTGATATCGTCATGGATTCATTGATACTGTATAAGTGGAAATTAAGCTATTTGTTCTTAAAACTTGGTACTTTAATTTTAGCGAAATGTAATTTTAGTGATTTTAAAATACCCATTATTGAAGCTATTACAAATAACATGCAATTAAAATTGAGCGATATTTAATTCTAGCGATCTCAACACCCTATCTGATAATGCCAAAATTAAATGCTCGCTAAGAATTCTGCTTATACAGTATAATTAATCGTGTGTAATATTTTACATTTTTAAAATCAAGTCAGTTGTCAAATATGGGATATAAAATTAATTTTATCAAAGAAATTTCATTTAAATTTTCAAAATCATCCCTAATTATGATCTGTTTTAATAATTTTTTGCAGTGAATCCATATTGGAAAATGGTCAAAATCATATCCAGTAATAAGTAAATATCAATATACTGTTTTGTAGATTTGAGATATGCCAGCAATGTTGTTTTATTCCACTGTAAACATGCATTCCACGAAGATTGTTTACCCACAAACTCAATGGTAATTTTCCCCTTCATTTCAAAACAGAAGTAGGACAAAGTTTTGTCTCACCCTTTCATACACTTGGGTACTATAGTATAATATACAATTATGGATTCTTTTGGTGTTGAATATGGTTTGTTATTCACCAGAAAAATATTCATATTGACCGAGGCGAAGCCGAGGTCAATATGGGTATTGTTCTGGTGAATAACAAATCATATTCAACACCAAAAGAGTCCATAATTGTTTTAATGTATATAGTAGGGATTTGAATAAAAAAGACATTGAAGGCTATATGATGACACCATTTTCATTTTCAATCTTCCATTGTTGAAAATAAAAAATCTACATACCGTAGTACGTTTTGTAATTCCGTGTTTTCCTTTCCGAGTTTTGCTATGTGTAAGATGTCCAGATGTGAAAAAATAATCCTGAAATAGGTTTGAATAATTGTTTTCCTGCTCGCTGCGGCCGTTGCAACCATTGCATGTATACGACGTCGTTTGATGTTTTGATTGTGACGTCACAATGCCGTTGCACGCGCATAAACCCTCTGGTGAATACGGCCTTAATCTGCTGAATATGTAGTGTTATGAACTGTTTGCGTTTGTATAAAGTATATAGAAACTAAAAATAGACTATATAATAATAATTGACAGGGTTCTCCATGAGCTGTTTTACTGTGTTGCTCCCGACACAGTAAAATTTTCTCCGACACGGTAACGATTCAAATTTTATGCATGCGACACAGTTAAAATTTTGCCGACACAATATACATTTTCATAGTGAGAGCTATATAAGCAGGTCCAGCACACTACCCTGATTAAGGTACGTAAATTGATAAAGCTATATAGCTTTATCAAGGTATTACAAATACCTTGATCAAGGTATTTAATGTAATAAAAATTCCAAAAAATTCTTTAAATATAAAATACTGAAAGTTAAATACTGAGTTGTTGTCTGACAGTTAATTCACCCATGCATGTAAAGTACTCAAATACAAAGAAATCAGTATAAAAACATGTCGTGTGAGGAGACGTTATTTTATGCTGTATTTTTGATATCAGAGTGCTTTTCTTGCACGAGTAGACACACTGACAAAAACTCAGAACTCAACTTTCAGTATTGATCAGTATAAAGCTATATAGCTTTATCAAGCTATGTACCTTAACCAGGGTAGAGTGCTGGACCTGATAAGACATATTTTTTCTTGTTCAATTTGTTTTCTTTACTGTAACTCATTCAATTTTCTTTCACTGTAGGAGCGCTGTACAATCTGTAGTACACAAAGGAGGGGACCTGGATCTAAGGGCGTGGTCAAGTAATGCCAATCAAAGGAGAGCTCCAATAATATCCATCAAAGGCCGTGGTCATGTAATGTCAATCAAGTAGTGCTCCAATCAAATGCTGGCTTTAGATTGATTATCAATGGAAAAATTAAAATTTTTAAGCATTCTGTTAAACATAATCATAGTTATTGTGCTTGTATTTTTAAGTATTTGCAATGCACCCCAAAATATATGTATAAAATTTATCCAATGGGAATTGCCATTTGTTTATTGCAAAAAGCTGCGGCAGTACTCATTTTTAACATCAATTGTTAAAAAAAGCTTCCTTTCTCTAAAGATTATGTTACATTGTAGTCAATATTTTTTGTTGTTTCTTAGCCATGATTGAAAGTACTTCAGTGAACTGTGTACTGCAAATGATTTCGCATTTTGATATAAATATGTTGACATGGATAAATTACTTCTTGTTAATCTGTAATATTTACTTTATTAAAAAAATACTTCATTGGAAATGAATTTGATTTTTAAGGAATTTCCACCCTCATAATTTTATAGGTTCAAAGTTCAAAAACTGCATTTATTTTCATTCAATATACTTTAAACTTTCCATTTGTTGCAAAAAATGTATAGGTCACCATATTATTTAAGATGCGAAACATGAATAAACAGAAGTGTATGTCAACATAAAAAATAGTACATTTTTTGTAAACAATATTGAGAAAAATAAGTAAAAACTGGTTAAAATGCATAATTCTGATGCTGGGTGTTCCTAAATAACTCTTACTTAAAAGATACTTTTGAATTGTGAATACCAGGTAAACTATTTTACAGAAAAGCAAATGCCTGAATGAAGATACCTCACAAGGAGTTATTGCCCTTGTCAACATTTTTTAAAGATTGAATACTTGATTAAATAAAAAGATATGCATTTTTAAAATTCTTTAACTAAACAATATTTATCATTACACCTATTGTAAAGAATTCTTCCAAGAGATATTTTTCTATAAGGTATGAATTTAAACTAATTACAGTTTTTGCAAAAACCTATGACATCATAGGAGGGTGGAATTACCTTAAGCCAATTTACAATGATATTTATATTCCCTTGCTTTAGATTGGACATATATCATTCTTTATGTTTATGTATTTCATTTCTATAGCATATTTTATAGTAAATTCGTTCCGTTTTTGGACATGTTCCTGACTTGTTATTCATGTTTCCTTCCAGGAGATGATTTTTGGTACATTTTGTGATATGTTCTTATTCTGAAGAACATTTAAATTCCATTTCTAAAGAAAATATTTATTATGTTTCTGACAAATTTTCCCTATCTGTTTATTTCAAATATTCATATCGTGCAATGATAACTTACTAGTAATTTACCATAAAATAAATAGCATAAAATATAATTTACAAGACTTTGTTTTCATTCATATGTACAAGAAATTAAATTTATTCTTTTAAAAGATAATTTCTACACATAATCATAGAATGTAAAAATGGATGATAGAATTAGCATTAAATGTTTCAAAATTCGATTACAATAGAATTACAAATTACAATAGAATTTGGTAGGGTATAATACGATGACTTTGTGACCGTAACCTACTAAGAGTTTTCCTTTTATTACCACTATCCTGGTTACTGTTTTTACGCGTAAAAGCGTAGTTTTATGCATTATTACCTGTACTGTAATAAAAATTTTTAAGCCTTTTGTTTATGATTATATTAGAAAGATAATTTTTTTTATGTACTGCGTATATTTGAGATAAGTACTTTTAAGAGCCTCAAAGTATTTTTTTTCCATATCATTTTTGTATTTCGAAAATTTATGCTTAGAAATATATTTAATGAAAAATATTTGAACTTTTAAAAAGTTAACGTGAATTTCATTCAAAGTCAACTTTCCGATAATCACGCTTGAAATAGCAAAACAGGGAGTATGGTGATGTTAACGGTTTGCGGAAGCTTTTAATGAAACTGATGATAATACAAAATCATTGAATTATATCATAAGATTAAAGTGATATAAAACAAGAGGCCCATGGGCCACATTGCTCACCTGAGCACTGTGGCTAGCATAAAAGCAGAAATAATTAGTTAATTATTAAAAAGTTAAACCCAAAAGTTGTCCCAACCATACCTAAAAGGTGAGAGGGTATGAAAACTTCCATATAGATACATGTATGACCAATCATGGTTTAACTATTCTTGAGAAGATTCTTCAAGAATTTTCATAGATATTTCTATGTAAAACTTTGGTCGGCCATTGTGACCCCGCCCAACCCCCGGGGTATAATTTGCACAAACTTGAATCTACACTACCTGAGGATACCTTCATATAAATATGACCATTCAAGGCTTTGCTATTCTTGAGAAGAAGATTTTTAAAGAATTTTCCTATATATTTCTATGTTAAACTTTGGTCGGCCATTGTAGCCCCGCCCTACCCCCGGGGGTCATGATTTTGAACAATCTTGAATCTACATTTCCCGAGGAGGTTTCCACATAAATGTGACCAATCGTGGCTTTGTTATTCTTGAGAAGAAGATATTTAAAGAATTTTCCAAAATATTTTTATGTAAACCTTTGGACGGCCATTGTGGGCCCGCCCTACCACCGGGGGTCATGATTTGAACATATAAGCTTCATCCCTCCTGGCACGGTGTTTCTTGAGAAGATTTTTTAAAAATGTCATTAATTTTTCACTAATTCATAATTATCTCCACTTTGAAGAGGACTTGGCCCTTCATGTGAACAAATTTGAATCCCCTTCACCCAAGGATACTTTGTGGCGAGTTTGGTTGAAATTGGCCCAGTTGTACTTGAGAAGAAGATGAAAATGTGAAAAGTTAACGACAATGAAAACGACGACAAAGGAAAAATTTTGATCAGAAAAGCTCGCTTGAGCCTTCGGCTCAGGTGAGCAAAAAATGAGTTTGAAATCGGATTAAGATGCAAAATTTGCAAATCTTTTCTTAATATTGAGGAAATATAATAGAACATCTAAAAGCATCGAACCATGCAAATGTTAAAAATGAGGATATTATCACTATATGAATATAAAAAATGGGTATCGAAATAATGGTAAATCAATTGAGAACACTATAGTATGTATATATTTCGAAAGAATGATTAAGGTTAAAGTCATCATCAAACGTGCAAATTTGTTCACAACTAGGGTCTTCAGACAATCTTGGCAGAATTGGGAATACATGTATATTAAAATACCCGAAGTACAGTATTCAAGTTCAAGCATGATTTTTATTTTTATGTCATAAACATTGAAGGCTGTGCAAATGCAACATCATCAATGAAAATAAATACGTAAGTCCATATTAAACTGCCTGAGGGTATTGTTATCTAAATATTTTCAGTGATGGAAGTGAAACTACTAAGTCCATGTTTTAATGACAGAGTTAGTACAGTTACACATAATTGTGATAAATGTCACCTGTAATAAATATTTCATTATAAACTTTAAAACGCACCTATGTCTACACTCTCAGAGACCCACTCTTTAAAAATTTCTGCTGACAATTTTCTGTCATTTTCATTTGTTTGCATTTCATCAAATACATCTCTCAAAGCATATCCATACTCTATTCGCTTTTCTGGTTCTACGAAAGTTCCTTCATCGTAATAAATTGTAGGAGCACCACCTCTTACAATGAGAACAACAACAGCTTTGTTGTTTCTAATCAAAATGCCAGGGGACCCAGATGATCCCTTGTGAAACGTTGTATGAAATAGAATTTTCCTCGGTAAATAACGCAGTGGAAAGTAATAATCAACACCCTCGAACTCTTTCATGCTCCATTCACTAAGCTCAGTAATATAAAAGTCAACATTATTGTTTGGTTCGATAACGTGTAGATATACTTCACTGTCTTCTTTCATTTGAACTCCACCTGGATGACCGATAAGGTGAACTTCTTCAGATGGCAGGCAATTTGCACTGAACAAGGTTAAAGGTGGGGGGAGCTCGATTTCACCTTTCTTTAATTCCAACACAGCAAAATCAAATCCTTCATGCTTGTATACAAGGGTTGGCTCAAATTGGAATATTTTGCTTTGGTCAGTGCTCTGAAGGTGAATCATCCTCTCAAACTGTATGTAGATCCTATCAAAACTGAGAAAGTCTTGGGAACCTGATTAAAAATCAAAATTATGAAAACAAAATAAGAAATACATGCAACATGATTGCGTTTCAGGTCAATTTTCTTATTTCATTCCTATACATGGCATATACAAACTCACTCACAGCAATTCAATTTATTTTTCATAATTAAATTGTGTCAAATCATCAAAAATTTACATTATCAACGAAATTCGAACTTTTCCACCCCTCCCTACGATGTGTTTTCAATGTTCTTAATTGCATTTGACAAACACTCTTTCTGCTCAGGCAGGGATATTTTTCACATGACCAATAGTCAATTAAGGCTATAATACGAAGTATGATATTTTGATCTATTCATCCAAGACACACAATTTATACTGCTACTTAGTTATTTGTTTGAATGAATTAGAATTGATATATTTTTGTTATGTATTTTTACTCTGATCGATCTAATGTTATAGATTCTATTTAAGAACAAACGTAAAATATTGTCTGTTACTTAATGGTACATTTACGGTTATTACAGTTACATGTTATGTTCATGTTGCTGCTTATTTATTTCGAACCTTTAATAGTCTAATCAATTGAATGGCTATAAATTAATTCATTTTAACCATGCTTCTTTGCGTACTCAGAGAAAAAAATAAAATGAAAACAACACGTGTTTATGAAACACTGATGCCCTTGTATGGCAGCTTATGGCTAGGGTTGAATTCTTTCAAATGCATGTCCATTTCCAAAGGTCAAAGTCAAAAGATCAAAAGTGCTTATAAACATAGGAGGTATACAAGGAATACACCTGTGAAATACGAAAACCGTATTTCTTACCGCTCAAAAGTTGTTCAAACGATTTTTTAAAAGTGATTCAAATTCTAAGTTAAGGTCACGATTATTTCTACCTGTCACAATAGAAGGTCTTGTCACAATGAATACATATGTGAATGATGAAACCCTAGCTCCCACTGTTTAAAAGATATAGCAAAGGTTAAAGTTTGACGTTTTTTCT